TCTAAATGCTGAATAAATTTTATTAAAATTTACTAAGCGGTTTTTGAGTTACAGTGGTCACCGGTTCAAAAAACATAGTTTTGAGAAAAACGCGTTTAAAGTTTCACATTGGATTTACGTACAGAAATTCGAATTATTAAATTACTTAAACCGAGTCATCTATTTCTGGGCCATATAATAGTTCAACAGTCATTGTGCAAGTTTCCAAAATTTCCATTTGCTGTTGCCTACGAAGCATTCTGGCCACCCGAGTGTTTTCGTTGGCGCGCTGATCTGCCACTTTCACACGTGCAGCATCCAATTTTTCAGCATACCAATGGGAATTATACCCACAATTGGGTTCTAGGGTATCCATAATCAATAATAATGATTATGTATTTGAATTCAGCAATTTGTACGATAGTTTTTAGGCATATTTTTTAAACTAGTTGGTGGAAGCTTTTAATTTTTTCTGATTATGGATTCAATCTTGAACTACACATCTTGAAAGTAAATTATCATTGCTGAAATCGTCGTAAATCGGTTTAAAAGCTTTTAAAACATGAGGAGGCGAGGGAGAATAATTTTGAGTATAAGTATCGAGCTCCACTTGCGTCAACGCGCTGGTAAGAGTCCAATAACTCAAAAAGTAATCATCGGATCAACTTGAAATTTTCAGAGAACATTTTCAAGATATTACACTTAATGAAAATGCAAAAAAAAACGATTTTTCAAAAATTCCAAGTACCCCTAACCCCTTAAGCACTTGACAATCTTGACAAACTCAAAAAGTAATCATCGGATCAACTTGAAATTTTCAGAGAACATTTTCAAGATTTGCACTTAATGAAAAGGCAAAAAAAATAAAAATTGATTTTTCAAAAATTCCAAGTACCCCTAACCCCTTAAGCACTTGACAATAAATTCGTTTAAAAATCATTGTACATATTTTTATATACAATTGATATGATCATATTTTGTTATTTGTTTGTTATATGTTATTATGTGGCTGATTTGGTTTTGGTAGAATAAGTAAAGAGTTAAGAGTAGGAATTGAGACTATTTTATTCAACGCAGAACGTAGAACGTTTAACATCACTCATATTGATGTATATTTATTTCGATTTCGGCTATAATGACCATAATTGTTATAAAAAACATTGATATTTATTTTTATCTAAACGGTAAATATTAGCATTGGATAATAAAAAAATTGGAAATGTTGAATTTAGATATGGGTACATGCAGACAGCTAGCTTTTAAATATTGCAGGCTTGTTTCTGAAGCATTTAGAGCAAAAACTGGGTTTTGAATTTTTATGTCAAGGGACAACCATTTATTTATAAATATCTAACATGAGTCTTCTTAAAACGTAGAACTATAAAGCTCATGAAATTATATTGTAAATTACAAATTATAAAGCCCGAATGTCATATAAAAGGTTCTTGGATCAAATCTCTGTATTGTGTAAAAGATATTTGTTATACTTAAACAAAGGGGGCGTCCATTAATCACGTGAGGTTTTTAGGGGGAGGAGGGGGTCTGACAAAAAATCACGAAATATCACGTGGGGGAGGGAGGGGTATAGTGAGATATCACGTGTATTTATTTTTTAACTGACTTTTTAAAAAAAATCGAATATTTTCAAAAAATTTTTAAAAAATATACAGTTTTATCACGTAACTGAAAATACACGTGATATTTGGTGGGGGGAGGGTAATTTTGAATATCACCATGGATCACCAAGGAGGATGGGGGGTCCAAAATTCCTTAAAAACTCGCTCACGTGATTAATGGACGCCCCCAAAGCACTTGCAATATCTAAGAATAACATACTAAAACGTTAATAAAAGTGTTCAAAAATTAATAAGCTAGGAAATCATGAAATAGTATATAAAGTTAGTATATGGTACAAGAAATGAAAATGATGCAAGTTCAAAAGTTGTAGCAAAGAAAAAAATATAATACATTGCACTATTTTTTGCACAATACGATCTTATAGGTAAAACGAGAACTCAAACTTTTATATTAATACTTTTGAAATTATGAAATATATGGGAAATGGTACCTGGCCATCAATATGAATTTATCACATATTTATCAAATAATTTCTCAATTTTTATATTTAACTAGCTGACCCGGCAAACGTTGTTTTGCTAAATAAGGTATATTCTAAACCATTTCTAGAGAATCAAAAATATTAATACTTTAAGTGCAAAAGGATGTGTTGTTTGAATGCTATATACAATGAAGTATTATAAAAACAATAAACCCCATTAGTTTGTCTATATTTTGTCAATACAATCAAACTGCAAGTTTTATACACTTTCTATATAAAACATCGTATAATCTAATCCGAGTCTTTTTTGGTCTTTCGGCTTATTAATTACGTTTCAAGTTTTTCAGATTCTTTTTGGTTTCTGGATTTTGTGTATAATTGTAAATAATACTACTGAGCTTATACAAAATTTTCAAATTTTTGCGAGGAGAGATAAAAAATAAATTAAGTATTTCTTCTTTGACCTGCTTTTTGAAAAGTTTCAAGTTACATTCGATGAATTAAAGTAAATTTAATAAAAAGTATATATGTAGAGCAGGGCGAGACACAAAAGTCCAATTTGACTTTGAGCAAATATAAACTATATTGTGAAAACCATAATTATATCACAACAAATAAGACATATCAAACGAACAATTATCTGACTATGTTCAGTAAACTGACTTCTACTTCATCATTGTAGAAATGTGCTTGTTTGATGTCTTCCAAAAATTTGTTATCTAGACCTTTTTATCCTATATGCGGGGTAACTTGTAACGGGCAGGTGGCAAAAGGTTTAAAGCCTTATTATAATTTTAAAGGTATTTTACAAAATAATTACATTTTTAACTAATGCTAAAACTACCAACGGAAAAAAATACTTTTATTATGGATTTTCAAAGATTACCGTTTATCTCCCCCATTTCAAAGATTATCGTTTTCAAATCAAGTTTGTAGCTGGCTAACATCTTTTTTTCTCTACTTTCAAATATTGTTGTTAAACAATGCTTAACTTTACTGATTTTTGGCACATCGGTGGTGGACCTTTTTAATCCCGGTCCTTCATATATTACTATCTATTCTGCGATAAATTCTGGGAAATTATATCTGGAAAAATGTTATTCGACAAAATGTCCATTTGATAGATACCAAATTTAGGTTCTGAATTCAAATAAGATAAATAAAAAATAATATAACCTAGAAAATGTTTTATAAATACCAATGAGTATATAATTATACAAATGAGATCTTTCAGAGCACCGTGTTTGAGAAAAATATGCCAAAAAGTGCATTTTCATGTTAACATATCAAAAAAGTTTATATTTTGAGTCTCTAGTAACAATTGCGGCCCGTTTACTAACGTTTTTGTATATAAATAAAACTGCAAACAAAGCTACTTGCTACAAATTTATCATAAATAAATAATATTCGCGTAAAACATCCTATTAAACGTAATTGAACATCATCTGTCAAAAGCGTTTGACATTTCACGAAATTGCCACCGTCCGTTGTTTTATTTACATTACGCTTCAACAAAAATTTTCAAATTAAAAATGTAAAGTTTCTACGCGGATTTGAAATAATTTCTCACCTTTTGGACTTTCTCCGGATTAGCACGAATTTTTCAAGACTAAGACTGGCCAAATCGATTCAGCCGTTTTCGAGTTTTATTCGGACATTTGAAAGAGAGCTCCATTTTTATATATAAGATTACAAATTATAGCCCGAATGTCATATAAAAGGTTCTTGGATCAAATCGCTGTATTGTGTAAAAGACAGTTGTTATACTTAAAAATAGCATTTGCAATATCTAAGAATAAGATACTAAAACATTAATAAAAATGTTCAAAAATTAATAAGTTAGGAAATCATGAAATAGAATATAAAGTTAGTATATGGTACCAGAAATGAAAATGATGCAAGTACAAAATGCTGTAGCAAAGTAAATCATGCATTGCACTATTCTTTACACAATACAATCTTATAGGTAAAACGAGAACTCAAACTTTTATATCAATACTAGATGACCCGACAGACGTTGTCCTGTACCCATGTCTACAATTTTTTAATATAATTTACTAATATTTACCATTTACCTAAAAATAATAATTATTGATTTTTAAATTACTCTTTACGCCAAAATATATATACATTTATAATATGAGCAATGTTAAATGTAAAACTACTTTATAAAATGATGAGTCTCAATTCTCACACTATATTATAAAATTTAAGCCTTTTAAACGGTATAACATAACCGTAACCATAATATAACACTGGTACTTCATGTTGGATTAAATTTATTTAATTTTTTTTTATTATTTAAAATATCCAAATTTGCATCTTAAACTTCTCCTAATCGATGTCGTGAGGGCCGAATTGTATGTATTTATCTTTAATTTCCCATTTGTTGTTATAAAGTGAAATTTTGACAAATTTTAACAATATTGTGGAAAGATTAGTAAAAGATTCAAAGTCAAAGAAATTATATATTGAAAAAAAAAAAACTATATTGATAATTTAATATCCGAATCTTATGTTGGCGCCTTCTAAGGCGTGCGCTCGTATTTTACATCCCAGTACTTTATAATCATATACATCCTAGAAAATTTCTCTAACAAACTCCAGAAAGATTTATCAAAATCCGAATAATAGTTTAGGAAAAGTATACAATGAGTGCTTGTAATTTAATATGAACATATAATAGCAATAAAGCTCAAATTGATTCAATGTTTTAGTTAGAAAACGTTTGTATGTGAAAAAGAAAAGGGCTGTTTTCAGGGTTTTCCCGACAGTTATTCGATTTTTTCTCACCGTAAGAACCATCCTTGGACTTCAACGAACAATTTAAAAAAAGAATTGGCCAAATTGTTCCAGGCGTTGTTGTTGAGTTATGCGCTTACCAACACATTTTGCGATTCATTTTTATATATAAGATTTTTGAAATTATGAAATATATGGTAAATGGTATCTGACCATCAATATGAATTTATCACTTTGTTATGGGTTCTTTTCGTTTATGAAACAGGTACGTTCAATGAATTCTTTTATTCGTTTTTTTAGATAAAATAGAACAACATAAAAAATATTTAGTCCGTCTATACAATTTTTTCTCGGGATATTATCAATATAATTAGCCCTAAAAAAAAACTGAAAATACGTCACGACACGCAACAAACCGAACGAAATCAACTATTGCACCTGTTCACTTGCTAACTGCCTGTTACTCATTCACAGGTGGAACCATGGAATTCGGTGCGCGTGACGCTGTCGATACCGAGAGAGGCGGCCGCGAGGTTGCGGAGGTTAGCTGCCGAAGGTTCCGCGGCGTTGAGGGCGCTGGGGGTACTATCAGTGCAGGTTGACGGTGATGCAGTCATTTCGTTGAGGCTAGCAGGACCTGCAGGAAGTTCATCTAATCCTGCTGCGGGTGGCACCAGAGAGATCGTACTAAGGACAGCCCCTGCGGGTATGAATGGTCTATTTTCAGCTGCTTATGTTTTATTATGATGTCTAGTGTATTTTAAATCTGGTTTTGAAGATTCCAAAGCCGTTATTAATAGAGTAAATTGTTTGAATAATATTCTTTTCAAGATTAAGCAAATCTTCGTTCTTATTCCAACTTAGTATAATTGTAAACATACTACTTTTTTGTACTCTGGTATTCAACTTTTTCAAAAACTATTTAACCCTCCGTCGGTCGGATATTTTTTCTCCTTCGAACGGTCGGAAAGGTCTGGCTAGACCACCATTCATTTTACATGCATTTATATGGGATAAATGAGTTTTTGGTGTCTTATATATTAACGATTATTAGTAGTAAATATTTATAGTTTTGATTTTTTCTTTTTCTTACCGTCTTTTGCATGTGTTGAGCTTGCTTACAAAAATTAGTACATATTATATTATATTATATAAAAAAAATCAAGAAATATAAAAAAATCGTTGCTTTTATTGTTAATTTTTCTGTTTTATATCAATGAAAAACAATATTTATTCTTTTTCGGCGCCTTTGAAATGAATGTGAAATTCAAATGAAAACGAAATGAGTCGCCTTTGAAATGAGCTGTAAAACTTAAAGTGAAAATATAATTTCACTACAGGTTTGCCAAAAAAAAATTTCGAACGCGGTACGGGTAGAAAAATTGTTGATAACGTGTGCATTACTCATACGATTTTCAGTGTTTGCGATTACCAATAAGTTTGGTAGGTTTTCAAAGAACTCTCGTCATGAAAATACTAATATTCATGTTACTACACATAGCAAAGAATATATACAACGCAGTTTGAATAGAAAATACCATGAAAAAAGACAAAATAATGGTTTACCATATATCAAAAAGCGTATATTTCATACAAAATGTATTGGTGGTCTAGACAGACCTTTCCGACAGTTCGAAGTATAAAAAATTTAATATCCTTATAATTATCCTTCTCTACATTTTTTTGTCCTGATTTTTTCATTGATCGACAGCTAATGAAATTTTAGGAAAAGTCAAGAAATTTCAAGTCGATAGGATTACTAGAAGTATTTTTTTTTTTAAATTGAAGTCGAAAAAAGTCTGGCCAGACCACGCCGACCGACGGAGGGTTAATACGTGTGCTATAATTGAATATCATTGCATAATATTTAATAGATATACTATAGTTGAATGACATTACATAAATCATCGGAAATGCATAAAAACATTTATCCGCCTTTAATGAAAAACGTAAAAACTAATTTTCGGATAATTTTTTATATTTTATTATTTTGTTTATAATTGTACTCAGGTATGCATTGTATGTTATTATTATTATTCTAGATGGCGCTTCATCTAGTACGAGTAGTACGTCTGATTCCACCGGCCTTGCCGGTTTAGGCAGACTACTAACAGCTGCCGCCTCTTCTACTTCTGCCTCCACCAGCACCGCTTTGCCTACGCCAACCTCTGTGCCGGATAAGAACCCACCTGATAAAATAATTCCTCTACCAATTCCGCCATTGCCTCAAGCAGCCACCACCTCCGATAGTTTCAAAAGCCCTAATACTGTTTGTCCTATGGACGGAAAGTTGCCTCTTCATGTGCCTACTCCACCTGCATCAACAGATGTACGCGAGTATCCCTTTGAAAGCATGACGCAGGCAAGGGTTATACATCGACGGGAAAATACAATGGCTATAAATGGACAATTTGTAGCCCCTAATGCTCCTGCTCCTCCCCCACCGCCTTATCCAGCCGCCGCAGCGCAAAATATTGCAATATCAAGTCCGCTGCTAGTTAATCTGCTGCAGAACGATGGAGGTGCACCTAATACGCCTCCAGTAAAAATTGTCCCAAACAAGCAAGATTCACTTGAGAACGCTATTTTGCCCATAGTGGAAGCTGCAGGAGGAGCAGTTAAACAGCAGCAGCAGCAGCAAAATGCTGCGGGTACAGCCACTATAGTGCAATATGCAAACGGCAGCAGAGCGGCGGTTACAGTGCCTTCAACAAACAGATTCCCTTTAGCCGCAACAACGCGACTTGTTCATGTGAATACAACACAGATCAAGAAGCCACCCGCAGCAGTTGCACGATTTCCTGTGGTACAGCAGCGACCTGCTGCAGTTCTACAATATCATCAACAACAGCAGCCTCAGCAGCCATATTCCAGCACTCATTTTACTGCTAACACTGCAACTATGGATTCACAAACCAAATCTAGTTACCAAGAATTTCAAAGATATCAGCAACAATACAATGCTCAGCAAAATGCTGCCAGTAACTGGCAGCAACAACAGCAACCTGCTGTTGCTGGTAGTGCTAGTACTAGTTTGAACATTCTGCAAGATCCTTTAATTCTTTCAGATTTAACAGAATTGACAAAGAGTGATTTAGACACTTTATTACCAACTCTCAATAGTGGTGATATTGATAGTGAGTTGTCATGTCTGGACAGCAAGACATCTAAAACACTTGATGCAGACTTTAGTTTAGACTTGGTTGATCCATCTACTGGCTCATTAGATGCAATTTCTTCAGAATCAGCTCAAAATACAACAGCTACACAGCCACCACCTGTTGAATTAACGAGCACAGGCAAACCTAGGAAATATTTAATTAATCCTCTTTCAGGGGATTTAGAACCAATGCCTTCAGAAGAGAGTTGCAGTGAAGAAGAGCCTGATTCCACTTTCAACATTTTCAACTCTGAAAGATCAAACTCAATATTTTCGGATGATGAAACGTCATGCTCTACAGAATTTTCTAAGAGATTTGACACATCAGATCAGAGTGACTCGGAAACTACCATGCGTTCTAGTAATTCAGAAAATAGTGTAAAATGTGGTATGCCTAAAAGTAGAATGAAGAAAGACAAAAGTTTAAGTGCAAGGGAACCTAAAAGTGGATTGAAGAAGGTGTTGAACAAAGATAAAGCAATTACTAAAAATATTATGAAAGATAAAGTTGTGATGATGAAGGATAAAACAATGAAATTGGTTAAAAATGCCATTCCCAAGGAAAAATCTGTAGCTACGTTTGGTGCAAAAACTGTTGTAAAATCATCATTGGTTGAAATGGATAAAAGCAATTTGGCTGAGAAGAATGAAAAAATTAAACTCAGGTTGAAATTGGAAAAGTCAGAACCGGTATCTCCAGCATATAAAGTTGATGTAAGTTTTTTAAATCAACCAAAGAAAGGAACAGCCAACGCAATGATGCCTGCCATGCCCTTGAATAACATAAAACCAGGTGGTTTGGCACCGTCAAGTGGAGCTACCAGTGAGGAACTTAGAGTGCCTCCTTTACATATAAGTCTTAGAGGTCGCAATTCTGTAGTCATCAAAAATTCTAAGAAGGACCGCAAAAAACCTATGATTGGAGCAGATGGTGAGCAAATAGGTGATGCATCAGATAAAAGGATGAAATTTATGAAACTCCAACAAAAAGACATGTTAAATGACTTGTCAGAACAAACTTCGAAATCTTTAGTTAATAAATTTAGTGATGATCTTTCGCCCACAAAAGATAATATGAAAATTGTCAAAAACTCTATGAAATTTAATCATTCAGATTTGGAAGACGTTCCTTTGAACTACAGAGTTCGAGAGGCTGGTGAAGTGTTCACAGGTGCTTATCATGTAAAATCTATTTCACGAAGCTCACATATTGTGACCAAAAATGCAATAGGACTAAAGAACTCACAGCAGCATGTGAAGTCAAATTTGGTTGTGGCTGGTTCAAAGTTAAGTAAAAAGATAAAGCCTGCTGGAGAAAGTGAGTTAGGTGGTATAACTGATTCTAAGTCAAATAATGTAGACAGTGGATTATTGGTGAATAATCATGAAAAATTTTCAAGTGTTAAGGACAGGTGGAATTTGAATAGTTTTATGAATGTAAACAACTCACTGGCTGGTGCCAGTAGTGGTACTTCGAACAAATTAGTGAAATATGTTAGTAAACAGTCTGTGGTGAATAGTGAATCAGTTGATGGTTCAGTGAAAAGGACAGGTGTGGGACAAGAAATCAGTGATAATACAATAGTGAATAGCCCAAATGGGGCTCAAACACCTTCACCACCTGAAAAGCGGAGGAGAATATCACAATCTGAGCAGCTGTCTGGTGGGTTGAATGAGATTATATTATTTCATTCTTATTTAATTATACTTTTTAACATGGGTTTCTTTTCACTTAATTCACTGAATAAATATTCTGAAGTTTTACATTGTATATACACATACATTGTACGAGAGGATATATTATACAGGGTGTCCCACAACTCAATGTCAAGTCGAAATGGGGTGATAGTATTGATCGTAACTATCATGAGAAAAATTAGAAAAAAAAAATTCCTTACAGTTTGAAAAATATAAGCTTTTAAATGCAATTTATGGCTTTGTTAAAATTGTGATCATTTTTTCAGTTGTTCTAGTTAATTTCTATGTATTGTTCATTTAAACTTTGGATTCATAACCCTAAATAACATTTCTAGAACCACAGTAAAAATAAAGACACAATTTCTCAAAGTTTTTAAAAAATAATACTTTTTGTTAACTATGATCTTAATTTTTTTTAAATTAGTTTCTTCTTTAAAAAAAATTTATAGTGTGTTTACTAATCAGAATTATATGATGGTAAAATACTTGATTGTTTCATAATGAAAGATTAAAAAAAAAGCCTAAAAATAACATGATGAATGCTAATGCTATTTCACTCAATGTTTCTGTCTCACAAATTGAAATTTTCCCATACAACACTACTTGTGAGTAAAATGCACTAGAAAAAATCATGTTATTTTTAGGTTTTTATTGTTTTACTTGATTTTTTATTATGAAATTATCAAGTATTTTGCTATTTTACAATTCCGCGCCAAGTTTAGATGGAGCTTGCCATCCCACTTTAGTATATTTTTTTTTAAAGGAGGGCCTCTCAAAGAAGACAAATTTTAAAAATGATAGTTTGAAAATGTTTTAGTCATGTCTTAATCCTTGACAAGATATAGCACTTGTGTGATTATTTTCTATTGTGGTTCTAAAAATGTTATCTAAAGTTCAAAGAAACAAAATTAATAAAAATTAACCACAACAATGAAAAATTATCACAGTTTCAACAAAGTTGTAAGTTACACTTAAAAGCTCATAATTTTCAAACTACAAGAATAATTTTTATCTAATTTTTTCATGATAGTTACGATCAATGCTAGCACCCCGTTTGGACTTGATATTGAGGTCTGGAAAACCTTGCGTAGATGCTTGATTATTTACTTTACGATTACTTGATAACTAAATATAAGAATCTTGAATTAGTTTAGGATCGGGAATATAGAGATATTTATTATAAACTGAAAGAATAGGTCTTTAGGTAGAGTAGGAATAGGAATCTTTTGTATGTTCTCTAATCCACAACCTATCAATGTACAGCATCAGTGATCATACTCATTATATTTGCTATATTAGAAGAGAAACTTGTATTATTTATAAATGTAGATATAAATGCATAGATCTAATGTATTAAACTCATATGTTTCTCTTTCAGAATCTCATAATCAGCATCAGCCTCCAAGCCATCCCCCATCTTCATCGTTATCCGTCCGACAGTCCCAAGATACACCTGCAGTCATAGGTTCTACAAATGTGGGAACGCTTCCTAATGTTGCCAATCTCACCTCCAAAACTCAACAAAATAGTTCGCCAAAGCATTCAAGTAATACATCTGGCAACTCTGGCAGCGGCAACAATAGCAATTCTTCATCGGGAAGTGGTTCCAAAGGATGTGGAAATGCTTATAAAAGCGGATCTGGAAAATTAGCGACGAAGCGGGATAGGAAGGAGAGTTATAGTAATAACAGCGCGGGAAACGGTAATTTTAAAATTGTGTTTTATGAATTATAGTTACCAATAGGGAATGCAATACCAATAAAATTTTTGATATAGGTATTTCGATATTTTAGATTTTAAAACCGGTAATATCGGTATTAATTTCACTGATGCAAAATTTAAACAATATTAAAAGTTACTTGTACAACAATATAAAAAATAAACGAAATACAAATAAAAAAAATAAAACCTAGAAAAGAAGATAGAACTTGTACATATACATATACACAACTAAACAACAACAAAATTTCTTTTTGTTAATATTTAACAAAATCATATTCAACTTGATATAATAATATTACTTTAATAGGAATATGTGATTTTTAATTTTAATCCAAGTTATAATATCAAGTGAAAAAAAATATTTTGATCCAATCCACATTCATTTAACTTGGTGCTATTGAATATTTTTCGATATTTACAAATAGGGAATGCAATACCGATGGAAAATTTCAATACCGGTATTTCGGTAATATTTCATTTTAAAACCGGAATACCGGTAAATTACTGGTATTTTATTATCTCAAACAAACGTAAACAAAATTGAAAGTTACTAGTACAAATATAAAAAAATGTATATACAACTACTACTATATTCAACTAATCAATAAAATAAACCAGTAAGTTTATTTTTTTAAATAATAATTTAACAAAAGTATATGCAATTTAATTAATTCAATATCACTATTGAGTACTTTTTACCAAAAAAAATTTATAAGTAAGTATGACCAAAAACTCATAAAAGATCATATTACATTATTATAATAAACTGCATTGTCCGATGTGTTAAATTAGCATAATCACCAATATTTTAAGAAAATAATTTTTCTACACTAATTTAAGATCGGATTCTTTGTCGAGATAAATAATAAGTTACTATAATTGTTGAGTATTGTTATTTAAAATAATGTGATGCTTCTATAGTATTTTCAAACTTCGAATCGTTTTCGAAAAATAATATTTTATAATTGTAATAAGAAGCAAAAATATTTAGTAATTATCATAATTATTATGCATGAAGTTAGAAAAAATAAAGATTAGGGGGTAATCTGTATGATATAAAATAGTTTGGCGCAAATATCACTTAAAAAACCGTTACATTTTTACAAAAGATGAAACAAACATCATTATCTATCAATCCAATTCTATTTCTTGTAACACGATATGAAGCCCTTTGGAAAGCAATAAATATTCAGTTTAATGACGGGTTGAGATAATATTTGACATTTGTTTATCTTATAGAATAACATGTAGATATAGCTGTTTATGCGATTATGGAATTTAAAGATAAATTTGTTCCGAGAAATTTAAACTTTAAGGTATTATGTATCAAATAGCGCTTATGTAAAAATACCGAAAATACCGGTATTTTTGGAATAAATACCGGTAAAAATACCGCCCGAAAATCGGGCGGCTTACCGGTAATTCGGTATACCGGTATACCGGTATTGCATTCCCTATTTACAAATATCAAAATAAAATGAATGTGCAAGAAAGACCCAAAAATAATTGAAGATCATATTACAATATTATAATAAACTGTATTGCCTGTATCTGATGTGTTAAATCAGCATCATTTTCAATATTTTAAAAAGTTTAAAAGATTTATTTTTCAATATTAAAGTTTAAAATCCGATACTTTATCAATGAAAACCACGACATAATATAATTGTTCAGTATTTTTATTTAAAACAATATGATGACCATATATGTACCATTTCCAAATGCGATACTTTTTACTTCAAATAATATTTTATAATTGTTGAGTTTTTTTTATTTCTCAAGATTAAATTACTAGCTGCTTTGCAATAACAAAAACATTTAGTGATTATTTTGATTAATAATTATAAAGCAAGAACCAAAATAAAGATTACCCGACGTTAAGCTTTATTTTGTTGATTTTGAATATTTTTTGTATAAAATATTTTGGCGCCAATGTCCCTTATAAAGGCCGTTACATTTTTGCATAAGAAGAAATAAACGTCGTTATTCGTTAGTCCGATTCTATTCATTGTGAATTAACCCTCCGTCGGTCGAATATTTTTTCACCTTCGAACGGTCGGAAAGGTCTGGCTGGACCACCATTCATTTTACATTCATTTATATGGGATAAATGAGTTTTTGGTGCCTTATATATTAACGATTATTAGTAGTAAATATTTATAGTTTTGATTTTTTCTTTTTCTCACCGTCTTTTGCATGTGTTGAGCTTGCTTATAATAAAAATATTACATATTATACTATATAAAAAAAATCAAGAAATATAAAAAATCCTTCCTTTTTTGTTAATTTTTCTGTTTTATATCAATGAAAAACAATATTTATTCTTTTTTGGCGCCTTTGAAATGAATGTGAAATTCAAATGAAAACGAAATGAGTCGCCTTTGAAATGAGCTGTAAAACTCAAAGTGAAAATATAATTTTACTACAGGTTTGCCAAAAAAAAATTTCGAACAACTGAAAACCGATTTTCAGTGTTTGCGATTACCAATAAGTTTGGTAGGTTTTCAAGGAACTCTCGTCATGAAAATACTAATATTCATGTTACAACACATAGCAAAGAATATACAACGTAGTTTGAATAGAAAATACCATGAAAAAAGACAAAATACTGGTTTACATATATCAAAAAGCGTATATTTCATACAAAATGTATGGGTTGTCTAGACAGACCTTTCCGACCGTTCGAAGTATAAAAAAGTTAATATCCTTATTATTATCCTTCTGTACATTTTTTCGTCCTGATTTTTTCATTGATCGACAACTAATGAAATTTTAGGAAAAGTCAAGAAATTTCAAGTCGATAGGATTACTAGAAGTATTATTTTATTTTAATTGAAGTCGAAAAAAGTCTGGCCAGGCCACGCCGACCGACGGAGGGTTAATATGAAGTCCTTTGGAAAGCAATATATAATTAATTTATAGACTGGTCGAACTTAAAGAGGCTGAGGTTCTGAGGAACTCAAACTGAAGTGTATTATGTATCAACTATATTATATTTCATTATCAAAAATACCAATATTTTTAAGATAAATACCGGTATTAATACTGCCGAAAATTTATATGGTTTACCAGTTTTTCCGTATTACCGGTATTGGATTCCCTAGGTACCATGATGATTTATAATGCTCTGTTATGAATTTACGTAGTATAGACATCTTGTAGACGAAACTCTGTAAAACATATTTGATCATCTCCATCTCCATATTTATCACAAATACTAATAAGGTTACTTTACTAATTTATAGCAATTTTACCACTTTATGTAACTTAAAAATATTATATGTTAATGTTTTTCAATGTGTTTTTACAACAGTGGCGTATCACAATCCCGATGCAAAAACAACGAACGAAGCGGATTTTATGAAACAACACAACATATCGGCTTCACAGACCAATACCACTGAAATGAAAACTGTAAAATCTTTATCATTACCTCAAGGAGACATGGATGTAATGTCGGAAGAAAAATTCAAAAGAAAATTATTAGAGAATACAGATGACCCGCCAGCATTATATGCTAGCAGGAAAGATTTACTAAGTGACCTGATGGATGAAAAAGAATCACCAGGCGGATTGACGAACGATCCGTCAGCAGCCGCTGCAGTCTCGGGAGGTACGCGTGGTAGTCCAAATTCCCAGGCTCAAGGAGAGGATTCTGGAATAGAATCTATGGACGCTTTAAGTGAAAAGTCTCCGCATCAGGCAGCTGGGCAGAGTCCTCAAGATGTTACCAGAACGGAAGGGAGCGTGGTCAAACATTATCCTACTAAAAGGGATGAAAAGGTAAGATAATAAGAATTATGAGATGAGAATTTGCTAAACTAACATTTAGCCTGCTATTTAAAATAGTGATTTTTAACTTTTAGAAACATGCTACAATATTAAAGTAATATTTTTTTTTATAATGTTGTTAAAAATAAAGCTCAGATTATAAAAATAAAATATAATGGATTCACTTGCTCAACTTGTGTAACTTATCTTTTTTTTAAATTTGTTAAATAGGACAAATTAGAAATTGACTAAACATTAATTTAACAATTCTTTCAGTGATTTTTATTGTTAGTCTGACACTTATACATATACCTATACTTATACAGTTGAATTATTTTACAGTTGGATATAAAAGCCCAGCGATCAGCGACAGCAGAGAATGTAACAAACAAAGCAGATTATGAAGCTCACATGGAAATTGGTTACATTGAGGCAGAATTAGCTAAAATGGAAGGATTATCTCCAGATGCGAGTTTGGTTGCAGCTGCGGAATTTCTCAAGAAAGATAAATTGAATGGGGATAGGGGTGGTCTTCTAACTGCAACCCAATCTCCTAAAGATATTTTGCGGGATCTTACGTCAGCGGCAGGAGCTCTAATAAAAGAAACAAACTTGCACTCAGTCAAAGTAGAAGAAAATTTGAGTGACATTCTATTAGGAGAGGAAAACAAACAACGAATGGATTTGAATGATAATGATAAAACATCAATTATGGATAACAAAGATAGCACAAAAAAAGAGGTAAAGAAGGAGGAAAAGCCAGTTGTGGATGATGGTAGAGTAGTTTTAAAATCCGAACCTGATGATCCATTGCCGTTAAGAGTCACACCTGCTTTGTACACTTATTCAAATAGCAATGAAAGGAGTAGGGATGCAAGTCCTGTGCCGGATTCCGAGAGTCCTGTTAGTGAAAAGCAGACGCGATTAGGACAAGCTGATGACAGCATGATGCAACAACTTTCAATAGAAATTCCTTCCCAACATGATGCTACAAGTGATGCTAAAAGCACGCCCCGAATACGTACACGAGCGAGCAGTAGGTTAGAAAGTCCAGCTGCTGATTTAGCTAAATTACATAGCCCAAACTCCGCCGCGAGCAGGTCCGGATCTCCCGCCTTATTTTCCAAAGCAAACAAAAATTCTTTGGAAAAACTGAGTCCCAAATTGACCCCAGTAGCCGCGAAAGGTAAAAGAAAACGACACGAAAGTGAAAGTTCAACACAGTCGTGTGTGTCCAATGAAGACTTATCGCAACAGCAACCACGTAGTAAAAAGTCGAGACGATGTCTCGAGAACGCGGTGGAGTTGATAAAAGCTTGCATGGGAGTCGATGGTCAACCTGTAACGCCCGTCCAAAATGCTAAAGGTGGTCAAAAAGTTGGCAAAGAAGCGAGCAAAATCAAAACAAGGCACAAGACGATTAGTGATAGCAACGAAACTCTGAATTCATCAGATAGCGACGAGCCTCTCATAGAAGTAGCCGGAAAGGTGCGAAATTCAAGCAAGTACAATAGTATTGAATCTAAGTCTATTTCCACAAGGCACAACTCCAAATCCATGATAGCAAATCATAATCAGAAAACAAATGCGGCATCAACTGGAGTAAATCCGAATTCGACTTCAAGTAATGCTGCAACGGCTATGAATAACATGAAAAATGTGTCGGTAAAGATTCAAAACTGCGACGCTGCTGCTGCAGCGGCGGGCGGTGGTGTAGCAATGAGCACGAGACGGTCAGTTCGGATGGGCGGTGCAGCAGCTGCCGCCGCTGCAGCAGGGGGGGCGACCAACAAAGGCGGGGCTGTCGCTGCCACAGCACCCGTGGTTGCAGCGGCGGCGGGTGGAGCAAGCAAGATAGTGCCTCAAGCACAAACTGAGGATAGGCGGAAAACAAGAAGCGCAGGTTTGTTGAAATTGTTATCTTTTTTTATCTAGCCAACTATTTTACCTGAACAAACATTTCGGATAATCTATACTTAAACTTGTAGATAGTGTAGTACTTGTAGATGATTTTCTCAATAATTTAATGCCACTTATAAATCAATACAATACACAACAGTAACTTTGACTTGATAAAATAAAAAATAAATTAAAATACTTCGACAGTATTTAAGGCCTTTGCTGTTGACTTTTGTACATGCTGTCCAAAGTTTAAAAAAGTGAGAAAAAGTGCTATAATAAAAAGAAAAGTGGCTCTTCAACTTCTTGATCAGACAACTTGAAATTTGTTTATATTATATAGAAAAAAGAGAGTCTTGACGATGTAATGTATATTGTGCACTAAAAAATGCTAGCAAAAAAATTTAAATGAAGCAAGATCCTGTTTTGAAAAATGATGAATGGTAGGATTGTGTATTACATGTTTCAAAATATATCATACTGAGTATGAATATTGACTAAATTTATGGTTATTAACTAATTGGCTTAGAATTTCTACTCAAGTTAGAACAGGAATATTTTTTTTGATAAAAACTGGCTGAATCATTTTTCTTGCCGAGATATGGTACTTCTTTTTGTTGCTTCAAAGAAGATAAGAGCAAATGTCTATTCAACTATATTGCACAATTAAGCAAAATTAATTATTAGTGCTTGAAAATGAAAAATAACTTTTTGGTTAGACTAATTTCTTATTAGCATTATTCGACAGCTTAGACTTTTTTTTGCTCAAATCTGGGTATTAGAACACATTAAAAGATTAAAATACTCTATTTTTGAAGACTAATTTTAATACTGCAGTGTGAGGAGCAACTATTATAGTCTATCTAATTTCAATATGTTTATTCTTCTAGTTATAGAGACACGTTCCGGTGGCGGAACTCGTGACGTGAAGTGACCCCGCGCCCCTGACCCTGACGCCCTCCTGGACGTCTGGGTCCAAGACGTCACCGCTGCCGGCAACACTACTGACGATGACGTCACATTGTCACCAGCCGAGTCGACTGACGAAAATTCTAGAGGAGCAGAAAGTGTTTTTACTTTCTCTTCGAATTCCTGCTGTTCATCTGAGATCAGCTCGGAAGTGGACGAGATGTCAGATCGAGAGATTGAAGAAATGATACCCAAACAAGTTGTAAGGCAAGATGATTCACAAAAGGCAGCAGGTAATGGTGAGGAACTGATGTATTCTGCGGTTAATATTGGATTGAATTGATGCGCTGCATAATGTGTGATATTTATTTTTAATAAATTAGATTCTTCAAGTTTACTATGGATTAATTCAAAACTTCTATCAATTTTAACATTAATTAAAATAATTAGAAACTTTTAATATAAGTTCTATCTTATAAAATTATGCATTGATAAATAATCTTTTTTTAATGAAGGATAGAACTTTTTATTTTAAAGTGCAGTTTAAATAGTATTTTATAATTGAGTTTTTTTTTATCCAGATATCACATATTAGGAAGCAAATCATATAGTTGAATCAATTTATTTGTATCTAGAAAGTAACAACAAATAGGTTTGTCTAAGACAAAGAAAATCAGTTGACAACCATTCATTAATAATGCATAAAAACTTATTATTAGTACAAGATGGTCTGCCTGAATCAATAGCGTAATTTTCTAAAGCAAAATGTAAAACCATCGTTCTCTTAAACGTTCACAACTTGTTTCTGCAATCTTTTTTCTATGTGGGGACACTTTAAATGGGGGCGAGACAAATATTGTAACACAACAAAAATAACTCAGGTTTTGATAAGTAATGATAGCAAATTGTGACGATTGTACAGATAATATTGAACGAGTTTTCAATTTTGTTGTTTATATATATACAAGCGCATATAAAAAAGCAAAAAAATATAGCTTTTTCAAATTAATTATTTTTTTTGTATATTTTTTAAATAAGTTTGTTGTTAAGTCCAAGTAGATTTTTAATTAATTCGTAGTAATGAATATATGTATATCATAGACATTTTTAATTTCTTTAATTTTATTTAATAGAAAAGATACTATATACAAATATAAATATATATAAATAAATTGTATGATATACAGCAAGATGTGATATCTCCAGAACACAAAAAAATGAAAAAAGTTTATGAACAAAGTTGATTATATGAAGTGCAGACTCACCGTACGAGATAATTAATAAATACTTTTGACTAAATATGAAAATATAGATTTGTAATTACGATTGTTTCAATTTTCCTAAGTCGACTTTCGAATAATTTTATTATAATTTGCTTTGTGATACAATTTGTATGGTAACCAATCAAAATGTGCAGATTTGTCATTGCTTTGGTAAACTGATAAACTATACAGTCGTAGTGTTAGATAAATAGTTAAAAAGTGCTATATATTTTGATGTACTTTTCTAAGAAGTTGAAATAATGCAAAAATATATAAGGGGTTTATTTTTAACCCATTCTCATCTCATCATTTTAAATCTTCGAAGCTTCATATAAACAACGTTAAGTTTTAAGCCACACAAACACTAAAACACACCTTTTGTATATATAGATAAAAATATAAAAACAAATTAAAAAAAAAATACATTACACACTTAAAGCAAAAATAACAACTGTACATAGTGAAATGAGTATTTTTGAAAGAATTTTGATTACACATCGCTTGTATTGTGAGCTTTATATTTTGAATCAAATTTCATAAATTATTTTTTGTTTTTGTATCATAGAATTTGTGGGACTTAAGACTGAGCTTTCAAATTTAATGGTCCCTAGCAGAAAGAAATTATTATAACAAAAACACGTGATTAAGTTTTGTATATAAAAACTAAAAAATAATTTAGAGAATTTGATTAATACAATTCAGACATGTTCATCAAATTGATATAGTGATTTATTGCTGGTGTTTTTTGTTTGTTTAAAAATTAAACAAGAAATTCTAATGCAAAGAATTATTATTTCTATTTCATGAATTTGGCTTCCAGTGTATGCGATATTTGTTGTGTAAGTTTTTGCATTTTGAACAACATATGAATGTGTCGAAATATATGATTTTATTTTACATAATATTCGGTTTTAATTTTATACATCAATGTACAATGTATGTTGATAATTTGCTTTTATTTTTATTTTGACATGTTCATGGTTGTACTTTTAATACATTATAGATGATCCTAGATGCACATATATATTTTCAGATCATGAAATAATAATTTTGATTGCGTAAACATTAATTTATTCTGAAGAAAACAAATAAAGCTTTGCCTTAAATTATTGTTTTGTATAAAAACATTGTGTACTAAAATCGTATGAACAGTTAAAAGTATATGATGAACTCCAAGGGATAAAATACAAATCATAAAGAATTTGTTTTGAACAAATTGGTAATTGTTTTTTATTTTTATTATTAATAAGAGATATTTTATTTAGGTGAATTTGAATTCGTCGTGTACACTTGTAATTTGTATAAGTTTCATTTGTAAATATGCAATTTGTAAAATTAATAATTGTTTTGAAACTGAAATTTTCTTTAAGTCGGGCTTTAATATTATTATAGATTGCGTAATATGTTATTATATCTATATATAAATATATAGAACATTATTTTTATCGAATCCGCTCACACGGATTTAGTTTTTGTAATATAAAAAGAACCAATGATTTAATTTCAAAGGAGGTGTACAAGTTTTATGTATTTTGCAAAGATATGCATTCAATAATTCATTTTGCGATGAATGAAGATGAATAATCCGTCCTTTAATTATTCATTCTTATTCATAGCAACTCAGAAACGTTTTTGTGATGAAGAATAAAATTTGTACACATTCCTATGTACTTCTATGATTGCTCATTGTGTTTATGGTGATGCATATGCGATCAAAATCTGTTAATATTTTGATATAAATTTGTTTTTAGACAATATTAGATTTATATTATATTGTACATATAATTAATAGGTTTGGGTTGGACGTTAAGCTTGATTATTTTTTGTTAATTCTTTTTTTTAACATCTGATTAATTACGACCCCAGTGTGACAATTATTTTGTAATTTTAGCTACAGTGACTATCAAAATTTCTGTCTTAGATCAAAAAAATAATATTTCGAAAAATACTGTACTTATGCTTAATTCTTTTCAATGAAATTTTAATTTATCTATTGCTTATCTTTTTTATGTAAATATTTCGATTTAATTTTATATTGGCAATAATTTTAACGACATTCGCGTTGTGTACTATTTGCTTTTATGATAAACGACATTTAAGTGATCGAATAACTATTTAATTTATATGCATTTTAATCTGTTATGTATATTTGTTCAATTTGTAAATTTTGTATATCTCGAGATATATCTACTATTGTAAATAATATATTTATAAGAAATATTATTTATTTAGTGAAATGCTCTACCATAAACACAGATTTTTAGTGGTTGCTAGTTTGCATAACTTTTCAAAGTGAATAAGCGAAATATAATCATCAGTCACAAATGTTTGATTTGTGTTTTAATTGAATATTAATATTTCGTTTTAAGGTGTTGATATATATCGTTTGTGTTGAAAAGCTGAAATGTATATCAGAGACAAAGTACACACTTATATAAACACATAAACACATGTATTTTTAGTAAAAGATGAAAAAATTTAATAGCAGTCGATGCGATTGCTTATTAAGAGTTATATATATATAATGTAATTTGTAATATTAATATTTGTAGATTTGTTTGTGGAAAGGTTATTATAAAAGAAAATTATAATCTAAAAACCTTATAAATAAGCTATATTGTTGAATAGATATCTTAATATTGTGTTAAAATATGGTGTTTTTACTTTCTTGAAGATTTCAGATATTCTATATTGAACCACTTGTCTTCGATAACGGAAATGAATTTCTATTATTAACTGGAAGAATTGTACTTTCAAAGAAATTTGAGAAAATATTCAGTAGTTTTTTTTAAGCATGTCCAAAAAAAAGTTATTTCAAATAAATTGATCACTCTATCAAATAAAATCAAATTCTACTACACAATTACACAAATTTATTCTCGCTGCTAAATTCGATATACTATTTTTATGTTATTTTGGCCTTTTGAGTCATTATGAATTGTTTGCCACCAAATTTGTAAAAAGTATGGGTGTCAAAAGTGGACATTTCGTCGACGTTTCCTGAAAAAAGGCTAAATCGATTTCAAGCATTCAAAAGCCATTGGATAAAACTCGATAAAGACTTGCGTTGATTAGTTTTCTTTAGAATTAGTCCGAAAGTACAAAATTTGTTGTCCACGTTTTCGACAAAAATATTGAACCGATTTTCAAATTTTAAGAACCATTTACAAGATATCAGTCTGGATTTGCGTTAAATTAGTTTTTGGTAAAGATTGGGCGATCCGTTTCTTTGTAATTAATTATTGAATAATTGATAATCTTGGAATTTTTTTTTAACCTTTTTACATACAGGATATACACCTAAGGGTGCGTTTGTAATAAGTAAGTACTTACATTAGTTAAAAGTATTCGTTCCATATTAAAATGAGACAAAAAGGCTAGAACATAAAGTACTTAATATGATAACTGACCTCCATAAAATATTAAATGAAAAGTGTATGAAAATGGTACCTTGTGCTGTACTAATATTTCTATAGATCACAAGTACTAAAAAATACTATGTTTTTTAGTCTAAGATCTATATATGCTCAAATAAAGAGATGAAAAAGGTTAGTATTTTATAAAGTACTAATAACTGACCTTTGTAAAATATTGAAGGCCTATGAAAAGCCTCTTAAAATAGTGCTCTGTACTCATCAATCTAACTAGCTCTACTTCTAAGTATAAAGCACTATTTTTATAATTGTCTAATGATAGGTAAAAGAAGAGTATACGTATGTAATAAATCACGGGGGTCACTTTGGACACCCAATCTATCATTATGCCAAATTTCATCAAAATCCCAGGCAAGCAATGTAAAGGTTTTCCTGTAAGAAATTTCAGTATTTGTTTAATAATTACATTTTTAAATCTGGCGGCAATTTCTTGTAGTCTAGGTTATCAATACTAGATGGCTCTCGCATGTTGTCAAAAAGAAGCATGTCAAAATAAAGTTGTTTGAGTTGTTCAAAAATAAATTAAAAATAATTATTTTATAAATATTAATTAATATAGTTATTAGCGATGCCTGTTGATCACAAAAGAATTAATGGCCCCGAAGTTTCTACA